TATATATATATAAAAGCTCACCGGACAAAAGATTAATCACCCTCGTGCGCTCAAGTAGCCTGCTCAACTGCGCGCACACTGCTTCCACGTGATCACAAGCAAGTAGCTATCAGTGAGATATTTTTATTTGGAACGGAAATTGTGTGTAAATATGGATAAGTAAGTATAAGGATGTGATAGAGTGGCAAAAAGGGGCAATTATGTAGACCATGTCCATGGTTATACGGGGAATGAAGCTGCTGGATGTGTTGGTGTTTCGATGCGGACTGTTCAACGTGTCTATAAGCAGTGGTGTAATACACGTAGTTACGAAAGATGACGTCAGAATCGTATTCGGAAAAAGATCCTGCATGAAAGGGACCGGAGACGTGTTTCACGACCTGCTAATCAAAATCACTTCCAGAGCCGACAGAAACTGTTTCAGTTTGTAAATGTAGGTCCATCCCAACCTGTAAGTGAGAGAACATTGAGCTGGGAGTCGCATGCAATAAACATTTGGAGTCAAACATCTCGTAAGAAGCCATTGCTCACACAGGCACATAAAGTTGCTCTACTTCAGTAGGCTAGAAGTCACCGAACGTGAACAGTTGCTGACCAGCGGAATACAATATGGTCTGACAAATCACCGGGAGCAGCATGCAATGAATATTTGGAGTCAAACATCTCGTAAGAAGCCATTCCTCACACAGGCACATAAAGTTGCTCTACTTCAGTGGGTTGGAAGTCACCGAACGTGGACAGTTGCTGACCTGCGGAATGCAATATAGTCTGACAAATCACCGGGAGCCGCATGCAATGAACATTTGGAGTCAAGCATCTCGTAAGAAGCCCTTGCTCACACAGGCACATAAATTTGCTCTACTTCAGTGGGCTAGAAGTCACCGAGCGTGGACAGTTGCTGACCTGCGGAATGCAATATGGTATGACAAATAACGTTTTTTTTTCTTCGAAAGACGCATAACGTTGAGTGCAACGAAGAGCAGATGAAGCATTTCATCCTGATTGTGTGCAAGGTCAGGTTCAAACCGAAGGATATGTTTTGAGGGAGCTTTTCTCATTATGGATTGAGCCCCCTCACTAAGATGGTCACTAACATGAACTAACATGTTTATTTAGACATTCTGAATGATTAGATGTTGCCTTTCAGTCAGCATCTTCCTGAAAAGTGTGTTGTTGATACCCCTATTTTTGGAGATGACAACAGCAAGGTTCATCGGACTGGAAGAATATGTGGATGGTTTTATGAACACTCGGGCTCTCAATTACATCTCTACTGGCTTGCAAAATCACCTGACTTCAACACCATTGAAAATTTGTGGGACATGTTGAATCAACGGGTAAAACACCGAAATCAGCTTCCTCGCAATTCGTCCTCAGCGTCCTCGTTCAATCCTCAGTGAGTAGCTTAAACTTGATTCAACGAACCTGCAAAACCTTGTGGACTCGCTTTGTAACCCAATCCAAGCGGTTATCGAATCCAGAGGTGTTACATGCTATTAAATGATGCTTTTCATGATTTCTCTAAGGTTGACTAATTTTTTATCCGGTGTGCTTAGATGAATATCCAAGTGAAGCAAAATCGTAGTGCTCTGCAATATTAGTAAGAGAAATTCTTGCAAAATAAATCCGTAAAATGTTTCATTTTAGAGAATAACAGAAATTTCAATAATTATAATTGGTCTGTTAAATAGGTCGAGGGAAAAAGTCTTTCTCACGAGTTAGTAAAGGGAAAAACGTTGAAAGGTTAATTATATAATGCATAACTTGAAGATTAAAAGTCGTAGTAGATTAAAAGACAGGATATGAATAGTAAAGTGTATGCATGTATATGCTGATATATTTATGTATATGCTGATATGATGATGAATTCATGCATATGCTGATATGATGATGTATGCATGTATTTGCTGGTTTTGTTCTATTATTCGTTTAAAGGAAATTTAAACCTAATTGACATTTCTCTGGAGGATTGTTAAAAAGAATTACCGGACTGGTCTTCTGTAGTATCAGCTTCAATGATTTGATTATCGAACCACATATGTGCAACAGTCATACGATTCTGTGTGAGGGTCCCTGTTTTATCAGAACAAATGGTCGAAGTAGATCCTAAAGTCTCCACAGCTTCCAAGTTTTTCACAAGGCAGTTTTTGGAAGCCATCCTTTTTGCAGTTAAGGTCAAGCATACCTAAGGAGGGAAAGCATATTAGTATGTAACAAGGAATATATATTTTATGATTCAGTAGAGAACAAGATTACTTACAGTGACAGTAGCCAATAATCCTTCGGGTACGTTAGCGACGATGATACCAATAAGAAAGATGACGGCGTCAAGCCAATAGTATCCCAGGATGAATGCTATGATGAAGAATGAGACGCCAAGGAAAACAGCCACTCCGGTGATGATATGAATGAAATGTTCGATTTCAATGGCAATCGGGGTCTCGCCCATTTCTAGTCCTGATGCTAAATTAGCGATTCTACCCATAACCGTACGATCACCAGTATTAATGACGATTCCTTTACCAGTTCCTGAAATAGGAAGCTAAGTAAATAAAATTACTGAATTAAAGCTAATTTCAAACGAATTCTTGAAAGCATGATCAAGTATTACATAAAGGTACTACTAAATTCCAAGCTTATTATATTATGACCAAATTCAAGTAGGATTATTGCTAAATCTAACTTGAAGCTAATTACAAGTCTAGTCTAACAAACATGATCAAATGTTATACGATATACTCTCGATATCTCAAAGTTGAAGGGTGGTTAAAAAAAATCGAGATGCGAGTTTTTGAGATAACGAGTTCAGAAATAAATATTTTCTAAGAAGTAGAAAAATATGTCTGGAAATATTACAATAAAAAGTAGAGCCACTTAAGAATAACTATTATTAAATATGTAAGCAATGATAGTTGACTATAAGTCTAAATACAACAATGATAATTTTATTTTTAAAAGTAAGACAATAACAATAGTGCATTAAATATAAAGAATTGTTTACAATAAACTTATTCTGCGATTTTTCAGAAAAGATTCAATTTCTATTTTGAAAAAAGTTGTCCAAATTAACAATAAGTGGATATATAATGCCAAAGGAAAAAAAATTTTTTATTGAGATATTTCCCACTTTAACGAATCATTCCACGTGTGCAAAGCACAATCGCTTCTCTACAGAGCATGTGGTGCATGAATATATGTTTCGTGCAAAATACAGTGAAGCCTCTCAAGAGCGACCACTCTCCGTTCCACAGTGAAATGACCATTTTTAGAGGTTGGCCGTTCTTAGGGGTTACCTCCATTGACATCAAAATGTTATACAAGGAGCATGATTTTTCGCAAACGGCATCGCAAGGTGCATGATTTTTAGTCAACGTCATTTTCATTGCGTGGAAATGCCACTAGTGTTAGCATCATGAAAACCGGATCGATGAATAAAATTAAGCGTCATTGAAAATGACCTCTTTGATATAATTATGTCTAAAAATAAATTTACCAATAATGAATGATAGATGTATTTTAAATAAATGAACTATTATGTTTCTGTTTAAGATGACATTTAATTTCATATCGTAAAAATTAAATAGCTATAAAAATTGAGAAGAGGTTTGTTTGTTTGAGATGCTTAGTTTTTTTCTAAAATAACTTTTTTTCAAATTTAACTTTCAACTCTAAAAACAGATCATTAATAGCATCATCTTTAGTGCACGCTGAATGCAACATGAGGTTGTAGATCTCTTTGAGAGATCGTCAAAAAGAGCTCCCGAAATAAGAACCTCACACAAATATTTTAAATAAAATATAAATCTACTTATTTGTTTCATTAATATTTTTTATTTTGATATTTTTTTCGCGTTTCCTTACTTGACCTATTCCGCAATTAGTGCAGAAGTTCGCCCGATCTCTGGGGGAGGTTTTGATGGTCTTTGATCTCTTAAGGTTTTCTTTAAGGCTGCTTTTCGAAGGCTCCGTCGCACTGTGAAATGATGTTTTTTTGTGAATGATATATGCTATTTTTATAACTTCTGTGAGTTTGCAACTGTTACTCATGACTGTTAGGTCAAGTTTAACGTATCTAAAACTAGCTCTGTCTTCGCTTATTTTGAAAACGTGCAAAACGTCAATAGGGAGAGAAGCCACAGTTTTGTGTAAATGAGAAGCGTTTTGGGTCTAATTTTTTAATATTTAAAAAACTTACTCCAATAATGCATTACTTGGGCTCATAAGAACTTGCGAAAACTGAGAATAAGGCAGAGATTTTGATAATTTTCATCTAGGTGGGAAGATGTCACTAAAAAGGCGATTTTTAAAAAAGTTTAATAACTTTTAAAATATTTAAGTTGTCTGTTCTAAACCCTAGATAACTCTTCTCGACAAGATTACATATATAATTTAAAATCATTGCTTTTTTTCAAGTGCAAAGTCTTTTTATGGCTTTGGTTTTTTATATTTCTACCATCATATTAACTATGGCTTTTTAATTTTCCTTGGTGACAGAGCTTCGAAAAACTGCGCCAATGGAGAAAATTCTATGGAGAAAATTCCGTTTCTCTCAAAGTGGTCATGAATAGTCAACGCAGAGGTAGTCTTTACTGGAGGTTTCACTGTATCTCTAATGCATGACAGAAAAATAAAGTTTTGAAAGGGTGATTCATAGTATATAAGAAAATGCTGAACCTTCTACGCAGTTTGTAGAGAAGAAAGCAAGATTTCGTGTCTCCAATGGATTTTCATTCGTCATGTCCGGGGATCGAGTCTGTGGTTCCGATTCACCAGTCAGAGATGAATTGTCCACTTTGAAACCAGAGGCAGATATGATGCGTATATCAGCAGGAATGCGATCACCACCTTTGACCTCTACTATATCACCCTGGACAACTTCTTCCGCAGAAATGGTCAGCTTCTTTCCACCTCTTAACACTACAGCATACTGAAAAAAAATCACTAATCATTCACGGAATTAATGAATATAGTTTTAGTCTTCCTAAGTTTTTCACTTCGTATAAAAACCTAATTGATTTATATTTAGTAGGGGGTCGTTTTATTGTGACTCAAGCATGTTTTGGCAGATTTGTACTTCCCAGATGAATTACTTTTTTATTTGTGTTATAAAATTTAAAATTTAATATCCTTTAGTAATCTTTCGTTTTTGTTGTTGTTCGTTACAATTCATGACCTCTGAAATTTCTAGAAGGAAATTCCTTTTCCAATACTTCCTTTCCGAAAACCTAACTTATATTTCAAATTTGAGATTTTTCCCGATTCTCATTTTTTCCCCCAGAAATTTTTGTTACATACCTTATTTTAAGTTTTTAAAAAAATATAATTTTAATATTTTACGTAAGCTCTGCTCTCTTCTTACCAGAAAATAAGTAAATCGCCAACTACCCATTATGTTCTTACGTAATATTTCATCGACTCTAAATTAAATGTTTAATTTATATACGTTTCCTTCGAGTTATTTTTTTATTTTAATTTTTTTTTTGATCCGTACGCAAACTCAATTTTGTTAATTCAAATGCCTTTGAAGATTTTTGAAGATATATATATATATAAATATATTTGACTCAGAAGTAGTTTTGCTGAAAAAATAAATGCAATGAAGTCTTACCTGAGGTACCATGCTCTTGAATGATTCCATAATTTTTGAGCTTTTTGCTTCTTGGTAGTAAGAAAATATTCCTGTTACAATAACGACTGCGGCTAAAACTACACCAAGATACAGCTAAAAAAATATTAAGACATTGAATTATCAAAGTTCGATCACTATTTTTCGAAAAATATAGTCTTTAAAGTACTAGATGCGTAGTTACATCAAATAATAAAGGAAATGTTTCTCTAAAACATTATTTTTGTCTTTTAAAGATTTGTTAAGAGAAGTCCTATCCCCCCCCCCTCCGTGGAACAGCTGACCCATTTTTGTGTTTACGACGATCAATCTTCAACTCCGTAGCCTTGTAATTTTGAACCCGACCCAGAAGACAACGAAACTTCTGAATGAAGCATTGAGACGAATTCGTGGAAGACTTTTTGATGCAATTAGCTTGCATTTGCCGAAGCATCGATAGAAAAACACGTTCTTCAAACTTCTAGGTTTTTCATTTCACGTGGTATGACTGGCTCATTGATTTGTAGGGCTTAACCTTAAATATGTTAATTAATTAACGCGAACGATATTTAAAGTTACAAAATCGAACATTAAAACGCATTTTCTTTTGTATAAACACATTTTTTAAAAAAGATTTGGATCTGTGACTCTCAAAATTTGGGATACAGCCGTAATCAGAAAAATATGGTCGTAATAGATCAGACAAAAAAGCGTTTGAAAGTTAGGTCTCTAAATCTTATTTTCATCTATTATGTTTGAAAGAGAGCGAATTTTAAAATTTTCATTTCTCGAGAACTATTTAACCAATTATTTTAAAATTTTGGATTTGTCACTCAAAGTTACGTAGATCTAATTGATGCAAAAATTTGTATACAAAAGCTTAGGAGTATAAGCTTTGCATATACGAATGAAGAGAGAATGAAATAGAAATCTAAATTAACCAGGATGGTCGGTTGTAGAAAGCTTAAAATTACAATTTTGTTTCTTAGTAGAAAAGGAAATAAGTTCTCAAGCATGTTGGGATGACCTTAAATATCGGGGGTCCAATTATTCAAATATATACTTTAAAAAAAATACAAAATATATACTTTAAAAAAATCAATATTCAAAATATATACAAATCAATATATACAAAATATGTACTTTAAAAAAATCAATTTGAAAAAATTTGAAATTAGAAATGGATGGCTTGCCCCGTTCTGCTGAAGAAAATAGAGTATTTATTCTTCCAAAATCACAACATACCTGCCAGCTTTTACAGCTATGCGAAGATAGCCCCCGAAAATGAGGAAAATCAAAAATTCAAACTGCATTCGTTTGACCATTTTTTGACCACAAATGACCACCCTTTAAATTTTTTTGACCACCCTTATTTTGGACANCCACCACTATTTTTTAAAAAATTAAGCATATATATTAATATGTAATACTGTCGTAGATGTCTGCTTAAGCTTTTTCAAAATACAGCGTATGTTTCTGCTTAAAATTGTAATTAAAATTTCATTTTACTACCACCACTGGGGAAAATCATCCTCGAAAGGATTAAAAGTTGGCAGGTATGCAATCAGTAATAAAATTAGTCAACAGATGGCACTAAAAAATTTACTGAAAAACGATTTTAAAATAAGCAGCATTTGAAGCATCAAAGTGATTAAGTTCGAGGATAAAATTAACAGACGTTGTTTTAATTTATAAAAAATATCATTGTTGTTTTTTTACTCAGAAGAGCAATCTGTTGGCAAATCTTTTTTATTTAAATGGGCTTCTGAAATTTTTTCACAATTATTGGCCTCGTTTTCGTAACACAATTCTTTTTTTTTCTGAAATATTTTTCTTACGTTGTCGTCGGGAGCTTCCTCCATGGAAGATGTCTGAATAGAGTAGGCTATGAAACAGAGTAAGGCTCCAATCCACAAAAGAATGGCGAAACCTCCGAACAACTGCTTACAGAACTTTACCCATTCAGGGGTTTTCTTTGGGGGTGTCAGTGCATTGGGTCCATCCCTTTCTAGAACCTTCTTCGCCTGATTCTCACTGAGACCCTGTTTATAGAAAAATACATTTAACAAGAATGAATATTCATGATATAGGTGTTGTAGTATAAAGTTATTTTATTTTATAGCTGGCTTTGAGCAGACAACTCATATTCGGATTTGCAGTTGTAAATGTTCGACTCCGTAACCTTTCACATTTTTAACGCACATCAGAAGACATGGAAACCAAAGTATTGGATCAAACTAAATTCATGGAGGACTTCTTAGTGGAACTAACATGCATAGGCGTTATATGAAGAGTAAAACACAAAACCTCCTAAGGTTAACTCGATGGCAAGAGGATTCTAACCAGTCATCTACAGTATACAGTGGATCAAAAAAAACGAACCACCTTGAATAACTTTTGATCTAATTATGGGATTTTCCCGTTCTATCACTCAATCTTAATGACTCGAGAGGGTGACTTCGAGTATGCAAATTAATAAGATGATACTTTAAATACGAAATCAGACACAAAAACGGACCTCCTATGAATATACATTCCTGATTTTTGAGGGATTTGGATTTCTGACCCCCAAGATATATGGGGTTGCCGCAATCTGGGAAATATAGTTCCAACAGTTTGATCAGGAGAGCGCTCCAAAGTATAAATCCCTTAATATTAATTTTACTTTTTGCGTATTTCGCTATGTCTCGAGAGCTTTTGAAGCAAATTGAAATTTGCAAATTTTGTAGTTTTCGCACATAGCTATAAAATTTGTTTATCCGAAAATTATTTCATGCAAAAGATAAGTTTTAGTAACCATTCGTAAATAAAAGAATAAAAAATAATAAATGTTTACTAAGAGTTATTTTTTGCAGGAAATTATATTTGGATAAACGAGTTTTACAATTGTGTATAAAATTTTTCAATTCGCTTTTAAGAGTTCTCGAGATATGGCGTTATACAGATGAAGTAAAATTAACAATTAGGAGTCCAAACTTTGGAGCTCTCGCCTGATCAAACTATTTTGACCATATTTCCCAGATCGCGACTACTCATATTTTGGGGGGGGGGTCAGAAATCAGCATCTGCCGAAAAAATAGTATTCTTATTCAAAGAAAATACGTTTTTGTGCCTAATTTTGTAACTTTAAATATCGCCTGCACTTATTAATTAGCATATTTGAGGTCACCTTCTTGAGCAATTAAGATAAAACGAGAAAATCCGATCATCAGATCAAAAGTTCTTCAGGGTATTCACCCCCCCTGTTCATCTGTGAAATCGGTACAGAAGCATAAGAAGAGCATAATTGAAAACCTACCTCAGATATGGTAAAAGTCTACAGCTACTGACGCCCCTGGTGTAAAATATGCTCTCTTAAAGTTTTAGTTCACTGACTTATAAAATGAAAGAAAACGCTCGGGAATTCGTTGTTCAACGGTTTAGATATTCGCCTTCTAACCCAGCGGTTTCCAAAATGTGTACCACAACACCCTATGGTTCCGTAGAAAAGTCACAGGGGTTTCGTGAGTTCGAACATATTATTTTAACCAGTAATAATTTTTGAATCATTTAATAAGCCAATCAATATGATCGATTATTTTTAGGAAATTATTCAATAAAAAAGGAAATAACAAAAAAAATATTTTAAAAAAATCTGTAACTATTTTTTCTTATTTTATTCGTGTATATGTATTTTTTAATCGAACTTTAAATTATCAGTAACAAATATTCTATTTTTACATCTTCTGTGACAGTGTGCTAGAACAATAAAATTCAACCGATGCTCTTGAAAATGGCGCAACATGAAGAAAAGCCACAGTTTTGTGAGTAAAAAAGTTTGTAATCTTTTACTTTAATTTTTAAATTTTTTTATATAATATTTTTTAATAATCTTTCCCTAAACTTTTTTTAAAGTATTTCATAATCTGGACACACAAAAATATGCTGAAAATGAGAATTACACATTGAGTTTGGTGAGTTTTCATTTGAGTGGAAAATTCACTGCAAACAGGCGATCTTTTTCAAAAAATTTCAAAATATTTAAATTATTTGTCCGTTTTAAAAACCCAGATACACTATGATACTTCGTTTTTGAACTTTTTTTTTGGAACGAAATGTAATACCCGACAAAGGTGGCCCATCTGCATGAACATTATTATAGATCTAATTTTTTTTTTTAAATCACTATCTTCTTTGAGAAGCATTGCCTAACATTTTGAATAAAACATAAAACCAACAAAATTGTCATTCATTTTAGCTAGGTTAAAACAATTATATAATAAGTTATAAAATACCCCTTGCGTTAAAAAAAAAACCCTGTTAGACGCCTCTATTTTGTTAGACAAAAGCAGTTTACTCTTGTTAAGTATTTTAAATCAAAATAGTTCAAATTGAATGGAAAAAGAGGTCAGTACGCCTGTTTCATTTTTTTTAGCGTTTTCATTATTTTAACACTAAATGTGTGTATTTACTTATATTTCATTTGCTATTGCAGTGAAACCTGTCGGGAGTGATCAATCTAAAATGGTCGTTAATGGAGATTGGTCGTTCTCCGAGGTTACCTTCATTGACTTCAAAATTGTTATCAAAGGGGCATGATTTTTCGCAAACTATTTTAATTTCAGACAGTGTTCCTTTATTGGTGCGGAAATGACACTTCTGTTGGCGTCATGAGAAATCAGATCTATGAATAAAATTTAGCGTCTATAAAAATTATCCCAACCGGTGTCATTATGAGTAATAACAAATTTACCAATTATGAATGATAAAGTTATTTTAACTCATTAAACAATTATGTATTTTGTTTAAGCTTGAATTTAATTTTATATCATAAAAATCAGTCAACTTTAAGAGATGAGGAGAGGTTTGTTTGATGAAGATACTTAGTTTTTTTTTTTTTCTAAATTAATTTTTATCTCTAAAAATAAATCATCGTCCTCGGTGCCCTTTGACTGCAATATGAGGTTGTAGATCACTTTCAGAGATCGTCAAAAAGAACTCTCGAAATATTTTGAATACATTTGCACAAATATTTGGAATACACTTATCTACTTATTTGTTTTGTTAATATTTTTTGTTTTGATATTTTTTTGTGTTTTCTTATTTGACCTTTTCCGCTTTTGGTGCACGATTTTGACTGGTCACTGGGAGAGAGTTTTTAATGGTTTCTTCTAAAGGTTCTCTTCAACACATGGTCTACGGAAAAAATTCCGTGCCTCCCAAAAGTGGTCGTAACTAGGGGGGGGGTGTCTTTTCTGAAGGTTTCTTTGAATAAACTTTTACTATACTCAGTGGCGTACGCAAGGGAGGGGCTTAGGGGTTTAAACACCCCCCTTGAGCTCAGACAAAATGGCAAAAATAAAACTTTTAGTAGAAATTACTTGAGCTATTATTTTTTAAGGCTATATATTTTAATCTGTCATATGCCTACTTTTTTTTCTCACGGTATTTCTCAGAATACTGAAAAAACATTTACTATAATAGGGTTGTACTTTTGAAACCAAATTCACGTGATACTGTCACGGACTGGCTCCTTTCTGTTCTTCCAGTATAGTTTTCGAGACTGGCTGTCATTCGTGAGGTCTTTACGCGATGATTCTGGAATCCTAGACGTTTTGTCGTCTTTGAGACAATTCGAGAATTTTGGAGACGCGGTGAAAAATTATATAAAAGGGGGAACGGAGTACAGTGGAGTTAGTTAGTCAGACTAAGAGTTATCTCTGCCGCTTGTCTTTCGGAGCTTGTCGCTAAATCTGTTTTGTTTTGTCTTAACAAAAAGTTCATTCAATCGCCGAACCCGTCGTCGCCAGTATTTCGACTAGTGAAGAAATCAGTAACAATACCAGAGATACTGTGCTCGTTGAAGTTATTCATTCCAGCTCGAAACTTTGAGATCGTAGCATAGCGGATATTTCTGTGCCTATATATATATATATATATATATATATATATTTGCTGTTCTTGAATCTTTAGGATGTCAACGCGCAAGAATTTAACAATTTTTAATTATTTTGAGAAAGAACCACGACCTGAAATAAGTGGGGTGACAGCATCTAGTACCAATGTAAGTTTTTCTGTTGTACAGAAATGAGATACTTCCGTTGAAGAAAACGTTTCTAGCATAACAAAATCTGATGAATGTGAAAGTGGCCCTCAAAGTGTTACTTCCCACCCATATGACATTGGACTTTTTTTTAGAAGATATTACATTATGTTCTTAAACTTAAAAAATGAAATCAAAATTTAACTAAACAATGTTGTCTAAATAAAAAGTCAAAATTGTCTAGCTGTCTAAATTAGGAAAATAATAGTGCTTTATTACAGACTCGAATTTCTTTTAGTAGTTTTAGAAAATTATGAACACCCCCCTTGAAAAAATTCTGCGTACGCCACTGACTATGCTAACATTTATTTGCATAGGACAAAGTTTAAAACTTTCTGATAAGGTATAATACACGAATCTCCCCTTTCAGTTCATTGTGCGATAATATATTCTTGACTAAAATAGCAAGAGTCTTCGTTCTTTTTGATAAATCTTATCTGAGAAAGATTGCAATACACTCACTATTTCTGTGTGTGATCCTAGTCTGGCGCACAGTTCAGACATTGAGATTTTGTGCTCGTCCTGAAAGAACAAAATTCCATTAATTATGCAGAAAAAGAACTTATTTTTAACAATTTGTCTTCATAAGAGTTTCTATGCACTGTTTTACACCACATTATTTTATGATTATTAGTAGTTACATGGTAATATAGCACTATATATCTTAAATAAATTGGTGCTTACATTAATTTTAGGATTTTAAATTAATTGGAATGCAAAGCGTTAAAATCAAAAACAAAAGTTAAAACTTTCTGGTGTTTTTTTTTTTTTTTTTTTTTTTTTTTTTTTTTTTTTTTTTTGTGTTTATGTTGTATCTAGATTGAAATAAGAAATACTATATATTTTTAAAAATTTCACAACGTGTTGAATTATGATATCGTTCGAATTCGCTTTGCTGCAATATTATTAGAGTGCTAATTTATTTCGGGGTCAAAATTTCACCGAACTATAAATTCGGGTGAATAAAAAAATTTCGCCGATCCATAAATTCGCGGGTACAAGATTTCGCTGGTTTATATGTTTGCCAACCTAGATCTTAGCGAGCAGGTATCTAGTAAGAAAGTTTTTTTCTTTTTTTTTTGATTTACCTTGTAGTTATCGTTTTTTAATAATTTTTTTAAATCACAATTATAATAAAAAAATATTTAATATTTTTACTTTTATTAAAATTAAATTTAATATGAGTTTGAAGCTTTGAAACAATAACTTTTCCTAGTTAATATAAAGCGTTTTTTTATCTATTTTTTTGAAAAATTGAATATAAAAAATGTTTAACTTAATGTTTTTACTTTTATTGAAATTGAGCTAATTATGAATTTAAAATTTATAAAATTATATAATATGTAAATTATTTTTTATTAAAATTTAATGAATTAATTATTAATTTATTGTAAATTACCAATTTAAGATTTTAAACTTGCGAAGTTTTGTTCACGTGACGTTTAGTCCGTGAAGTTTTGACCCCATTACAGTTAAATTGAATCCTGTTATCGAACTTCATGATAAGATGATATAAATACGGCGCAGCCAGCTCAAACGGAAACGTGGTTCAATTTAAATTGATACGTGTATTTTTTCTTTCCTTTTTTTTTCTTCCTAGGGGCAGTTTAAGTAATATGTAGGCATCTAAAGAGGGAAAGGATTTGTGATTTGATTATTTTTAATGGCAATAATGGCAATGCTTACATAAGGCTTTTAATAATTTTATAATATCAGTATTTCTTTGTCGTTATTATTTAGTGACAAAAGACTTATTTAAAATTTTCTTTGAAAATGCAAAAAAATAAATAAATAAACGTGATAAAAAATTTGGAAAATGCTATAGTCGGAAAAATTTTAAGTTTTAATAATAATTAAATTTGACCACAGATTAAATTGAAAATTTTTTTCCATGGAGTTTTAAAATTTTACAAAGATAATTGAAACGAAATTTTGTTAAATACAAAGTTACATACTTTATTTTTATTCAATCTTAAAATTTACGTCACTAACTACTGTGAAAGTCAAAATCAAAACAAAGACAAACAAAGTTGTTTAAAAAAAAAACGTATTGAAAAACAAAGTATTTTTAAAATCTGTTATTTACTCATCGGGTAAATAAGAAATTCTGTGAAAAGCTAAGTCAATTATTTTTTTCCATTACAGTTTATAAATCACTGAGACAGAAATTATTTCGACGCAACGTTATAGCTATCTTAATTTTATGATCTACANAATGTTATAGTCGGAAAAATTTTAAGTTTTAATAATAATTAAACTTGAAGAAAGATTAAATTGAAAATTTTTTTTCATGGAGTTTTAAAATTTTACAAAGATTGTGAAAGTCAAAATCAAAACAAAGACAAACAAAGTTGTTTAAAAAAAAAACGTATTGAAAAACAAAGTATTTTTAAAATCTGTTATTTACTCATCGGGTAAATAAGAAATTCTGTGAAAAGCTAAGTCAATTATTTTTTTCCATTACAGTTTATAAATCACTGAGACAGAAATTATTTCGACGCAACGTTATAGCTATCTTAATTTTATGATCTACAGTAGGTGAAATACAATGCTAGGAAGCTTTACAAAAACTTCCATAACAATCTATATTATTTTATGTCATGGCTTATAATGGTGAAAATTAAGAATTGTCAAGATTTCCCGAAACAAAAATCAATTGTATGAAATAAAATATGATTTCATGTATCATTAACAGCGAGATTCTAATTACCTCGAGAAGTTAATGACAACAACGCAATAATGAATATATTTTCGTGTGTGGCCTAATATGATTTAAATGACCAAACGAATCCTGACGGATTCCATTCGGAATGTTTTTATTGCTTAAAATACACAAAAGAGATAAAAAAGAATGGGAACAACCTTCTTCCAATATTAGACAAAAGAAAAACGGTTTCAATTGTTTATGTTTTGAAAAGACTCTTTTAAATATCTTTAAAAATGTATTAATACCATAGAAAAATTATTATTTGTTTTCCTTTTATATTTCCAGGGGTCACGCTGCTTACGCATGGTGAAGGTCATATATTTCAGCAAATTAGATCTAAACATTTCTAGTGATTTCTGACAAAGTCAAGCTTTCTTTTTTTTTTAATTATTGTATGAGACTAATTAAAATAAATTACGTAGATAATTGATATTAAATTACTTCTCTGAAAATTTACCATTTTTCTCCGGTTTAAAGATCATGCGTGATGTTTTTAAAAATATTTTGTCGAATCTGAAGTAGTTGGCAACTTTGCGTATTATTCATTCCTGCTATTTTTATTGTATGAGACTAATATTTTTATTGCATGAGACTAATTAAAATAAATTATGTAGATAATTGATATTAAATTACTTCTCTGAAAATTTAACATTTTTCACCCTCTTAAAGATCATGTTTGATGCCAAACTCATGCGTGATGCTAAGTATTATTCCTCTTAGGTATTATTCTTGGTTTAGTAAATTCGATGTATAGCGTTTTTAATCACCTCTACTTCTAAATAATTTAAAGTCTTATGTGATACGCCAATTTGCTACTGCTGAGCCGTGGGACCTCCCTGGTCGAACAGTTTTGCGCGCTAAGCGCTGTGCGAAGTGTGAAGGTGACAGATTCGAATCCTGCAGTAACCCTAGATGATGTCCTACTCTAAACTGTTCTATCTGTCCTTTTTCTTGATAAAATTTTATAAGCCTAATCTGTAATTAAATTTACAAGCCTGCAAATGTATGTAATTTCAATAGCGGAATTACTGCTGAGCCGTGTTGAGCCTTTTAATAATTTAGCGAAAATAATCGAAAATTTGGCCATTTTAGCTCGTAGATCTTTACCATTTTAAAAATATTTTTTAGAATCTGGAGAAGTTGGCAACTCTGCGTATTAATCATTCCTGCTATATTCAGTATAGGTTGCCTTATAATTAAGAGTTTTAAAAAGAAAATAATTTTGAGTAAGGGACAGTTGCAACATGAAAAGTTAGGGGCAGCGATTTTCTGATGAATTGTGAAAATAAAAAAAAGATGCTAAAGGAGAATGTGTAAATTATATTTCGGATAACATTTAGCTGCGAAAATCTATACATACAGTGTATATTAACATGCTTTGCATTTACATTGAAAATTAACTTCAATAGGAACAGATGTGACACTTTGTACAATCAAATTGAGCTGTTAGCCATATTATTATGGTGTAATGAAAAAAAAAGGAAAGCCTTAATAGATTTTTTAAAAAAATCCTTTTTCAGAAAACTATATTGAATAGCGACAAATGTCACACTTAATCAACAAACATTTTTTAAATTGAAATAAATTTTTATAATTACCATAGAAACCTCCTGTTTCAGTTCTTCTAGATCCATTCTTTTATCCTTTTTCTTTTCCTTCCTTGTTGCTCCATTTTTTCTGTTATCCTATAAGATTATTAAAGTTGTTGTAATATTATATACTAACAAAAAGAATTTTCGTATTTTAGTTATAAAATAATGAGGTCAATATCATTAAACCATTTGTGCCTTTCTAAAGGATTTTTCTAAACAAGGACAAAAGTAATGTTTTTCAGTGGTAAGATTTAGTTATAAGAACTAGAAAGTCTACTATGATACATAAATTTTTAAAATACTTTGATCTCAAGTCAAAACATAGTGTTTTTTTAAAAACTAAAGTAGTAAATAACAGAAAGAAATAACCATTTGGCAACTTTGTTTTACCATTTTTTCCCTTTCAAATAATGGCTCTTTTTCGTGGCCGGGCATTAAAAAAATTTATACAAATTTTGAAAAAGATGATTATAAAAAGAATGTAAAAACTTTAAATTCAAATTAACCACGAAAGTAAAACTTTTTTTCAACCTATATCCTGAAAAAATTTCGTGCTTTCTGATATTGCATTAATATAATCAACGAAAAGTATACCAATACAATAGTATGACTAGCACCTAAAAATAAGATTGATAATGTAATTCAATCAAGTTAAAACAAGATTAAAAACAAAATAAAACTCATAAATTATGTATAAATAAATATATACTTACAATTGCCTCACAAGAACGATTTATAAATATATTTTCATACCTAAGTTCCCAGATCATTAAACATGAAATTAAAGATTTGTTAAGAGAAGTCCTATCCTCTATTACGATTTAATTTTAATTTTTTGTAAGACATTAGTGTCGTGTAATTAAATTTAGAAGTTATTTACAGATTGATTAATGAATGTGGATTGAAAAACGAGATTATGATTTGCTATAGCTAACAAGGAGAGTGGAATTTACTTTGAAATGAAACTTGTTATGATTAGAAATATATTTTAAGAATATTTCGAGTCAATTCCTCTAAAAATACAATTTAAAGTTCAAGCATACTTTATACGCTTACTAAATCTGAATTTTGAAAACGGTCTAGTGGCAAGAAACCTACCTCACAAAGAGATGGCGTTCGAGTCTTGCAATGTATAGTTTATTTTAATCTATTTTTTTCAATAAAGGTGTTTTTTTTTTCAAGTAATTTAAATGTAGCTTTATTTCATTTATTGTATTTTTTAAAATTATTAGATATTACGTTAAATTATTTGATAATATGTTATGTAAATTATGGTATTAATGTAATTTTTCAATAAAATAAATGATTAAAATAATATTTATAAATAATGTTAATAATAGTCAAGTAACTCGACTTTTATTAATTAATTATATTACAGATGTTGTTTCATGTGTAATAATCTGTATTACAATTATCGCAAAAAAAATTTAGAGCAAAAAATTATTTGGCATCTGCGCAATTAATAAAATATTATTGTTAACATGAATAACGTTTTGGAGGTTGAGCTAATGAAAAAAAGTTTCATTAATATTCAAAAGGTTTTCTCAATCTTTCGAACTTTTAAAAGCGTACAAATCATATGTTATCGTTTTTGGAAAAAATGGCGGTGGAAATTGACGATGTGCTTTTATTTTAATTTTAATATAGACTTCATGAGAATTTATTTCTCGATTTCATTCAAATAACTATAAAAAGTTCTATAAATGCTTTATTAAATTTTTTTTCCTGTCTATAAAAATAAGCGCCTCGAGCTTGAACCGGATCAATACATTCTAACCACTGCTGATAAATATTTTTATCTTGACCGATATCTTTACTGAAAGATTGAATTATTATTGTAATTTAAATATGCTGCACGAAGTTGGAAAAAAATAAATTTAATTACATATTGCGGAAACTTATATTGATTTTTAAATGCATAAAAAATTATACGATTAAAAGACATATGAGAGACTATTTTTTTGGTTGTCTCATTATGTTAAAAATAAAACAAAATGCTGCCTTCATCACCACTATTTTAGAAAAGTCTTGTCTAGCATGCTTCGCATTATCACAGCACAAAATTTGTTGATGAAATAATATGAAAATGCATATTTCTTGAGAAATTAATTATGTATCAAATGTATTATGTATGTTGATGCTGTTATTTTACGTCAAAGTTGAAGATTTTTTTTATCACTGTATTATTCAGTTTACTATAACCTATAAGCAAGGCATAATAAGTTATATATACGATAACCTGCCATTATTACATCGTTTAAATTTCGAATAAGTTTTGAAGTAATTAAATGGTTATTGTTCACGGTTTTTAAGATTAAAACTAATTGTAGTAGAAATATAATTTTTTGCATTTTTATACTCTTATAACAGAAGATTAAAGAAAACTGTTGACCCTTTTCTTGAAATTTTGAATTAGTTTCGAAATAATTAAATTTTGTAAATTTTGGTGTTTTTCATTTAAACCTGAACCGTTAATGGAAAATGCGCATTTTTTTAAATTGTTGTTCAGACGTATCGATTTAAATATTCTCCTTTCATTTAAATTGGGATTATTTTAATGAAGACCAGAACATTCTACTTCTATTCGGTATTCACCGAGATTTGTAGATTACCAAAGTATTTGTATAGTGTAAAATTATGTCTTCATTTTAACTGTGAATTAATTAATTAATTTTATTTTACATTTATTTATCAAATGGTTCATTAATTATGTTGTGAATTAGTCTATACATAAAGTATAAAATCATTAAATCTGTAATATATTGGTGGATAAAATTAACTTGTTGAAAGAATATTAGCAGCAATATAATTTAATTTTTTTTGATTGAAACAAAGGAATTATATTCTAGTTTATTCTTCAGAGAGTATGCCTTTTTACATTATTCGAATTTGATAAATAAATGTATTTAAAAAGATTTCATAAAATTTACATTCAATTTTCGGCCACGTTATCTCAATTAATTATCTCATTATTGATTTTTTGAATGATAAATAAGTGAAATTGTTATCGACTTTATACAAATTAATTTGATTTTTGTTATAGCATATCCAGGGTCCGCGTTAAAGATTTAATTATTAGCCAGTAAATTAGCCAAATATAAAAAACATTCGCTAATTTTCGAAAGTCTTCGCTAAATGGAAATCTTAGCAAATTTTTATGATGACTTTTTTTCTTATAGAATTATTTAACAGGGCTTAATCGCATTTTGCGGTAGTTTGTTTTAGGTTTATATTATTAAAACCCATTTCTAATTGGTAATGCGGGGCATCTACCGAAAATTACTGTAATGGAATAAAAAACACTGATTCGCTTAGAAAAATTCATTTTGACGGTAATTTTGAGGATCGAATTAAATACGTTTTTTTCTGTTCAGTGGAAAAAATCATTCGCCAATACTTTCGCCACAACATAATTTTATTCTCTAAATTTTCGATTTTATCCAATTTGGCGTGGTAGTGAATGCTTAGCGCGGGCCCTGCATATCTATTAACTCTATCTGTTGGTAATCTTGTTATTATTATAAATTAGACTTTTAAAAAAATGCTCGCTTGTTGATATTATATCAGACAAATCATACCCATTTCTTATCTGCCAACACGTGAACTTTTTTGTAAAGTTTTTTCTAGTGATACTGAAATAAAAATTGCAACAATAACCTTAAGCAGAAATTACTTAAATTTCATCAGCACCTAAAACCCCATTAGTGATTAGCGGTGAGTTTATGTATGTTTTAATTAATTTGAATTAAATATGATCACGTACATTTTAAATCAAATGTATTAAATAAAAAGTTAATTATCAAAACCTTAATCTTGCTACCACTTTAAATATAAAAATAAAATCTTCCGGTTGAAATAGGAAGAATTAGTAGCTGTGGTATTTATAATTCTTAAGATAGGCTCCTGATGCTTCTTTATTACATACATACATATTCCTCATCACTCCGAATAGGAGCATAGGGCTTCTATCACAGCTTTCCATCTATTTTGCCTCTCTCCGTGTTTTTCCGATTGTTTTCAATTCGATTACTATCATCCTGTGCCAAGTATTTTTATGTCTTCCTCGTTTTCTATTGCCTTGAAGATTCAAGATTTTTTGAGGTTTACGTCGAATATGACCAATCCATTTACATTTTTGTTTAATTTCCAGGTCAATCGGTTTCTGTTTTGCTCTTCTAAGGATTTCTGCATTACAAATTTTATGGAACCACTTGATACACAAGATTCTTCTTAAACAGTTGTTAATGAATACTTGAAGTTTTTTTTTCTTCATGTTATTCTTATTGCAGTCTCCGATCCATATAGTAGAACAAATTTAACATTAGCATTGAAAATTCTAATTTTTGTTGAATTTATTGTGTTTTTGTTTTTCTGGAATTTATTGAGATTAGCGTAACTGCTTCGAGTTTTGTTCAATCTATTTAGTATATTTTCCTAAGTTCCTCTATTGTTGTTAGTTATACTTCCAAAATATGTAAAACTGCTGACCTCCTCCAATTATTTTCCAAGAATATGTCATTTAATTGTTTACGATTAATTTTTAAAAGTTTAGTTTTATTTTGGTTGATAATAAGCCCCATTTTCTTTGCTCCCTAAGTTTAAAATGTTTATGCAAGTTTTAGGATAATTGCAGGAACTTATTTATGAATAGGTCAAATTAAGAATTTCTTTCGGTAAAATGGGAATTTCCTCCCTACTTTAAATGTAAGTTCACGGCACCCTCTACTTCGTGGTCGCGCCCTCTGCTTCGAAGAAGTTGGATACAAAATAATGTAAAATGCATTTATGCAATGTATTTAAGTAATTATTTTACTTTCATTTAATTACTATTTAATTTGTTTTTTTATTTTAGTTTATTTAACTATTTAATTTATCTAAGACAAAATATTATATTTAAGATGGCGCCAATTGAAGGTAAACAACTCAGAATAAATTTATAAAACTAACGGTAAAACAGAATAATTTCTTTCTATATTTAGAAAACAAAACAAAAATTATGAACAATGAGAGAGAAAAGTTTTATCACCAAGATAAGACCTAGTGATAAGAAAAGCCCAGACAAATAACATCCGCTTGAATTATGAGGGAAGAGAGCAACTAGTATATCACTTTCCTGCACAGCACTCCTATCGGACTACTTAAGTGTCGCAAGCAATTTAATACTGTCATTTTTACTATTCGGTACAGAAAATTTTCGCTATAAACGTTGTTTTTACTACTTGGTACAGCCAATTTTCTTTGTAAACGTTGTTTTTACTATTTGGCACAGCCAATTTTCTCTGTAAACGTTGTTTTTACTATTCGGTACAGCCAATTTCTGTTGTAAATGTTGATTTTACTATTCTGTACAACCAATTTTTGTTGTAATCGTTGTTTTTATTTAGACATATATTTAATCTACCTCAGATTGTGAATAATTATGAAGAAAAAATTGGAAAAATAATAATTTTTGAAAGAAACCCTTTCTCAGATTGTAAAAAAAATGCCAAAATAATGAGATTGTATAGAGTTAAACTTCAAAAATGAGATTGTACTTTCAAAAATGAGATTGTATAGAGTTGAAAAAAAAGCCCTTTTTTCCAGATTGGGAATATTTGAAAGAGAAAATGTCAAGAAAATAATTTGGAAAAATAAACGTTTTTCAAATTAAAAAAAATTTAAACTAATAATTAGCAAAAGTAACTATTTCTCAGATTGTGTATACCTGAGAGAAAAAAAAACCAAAAAAATAACTTGTAAAAATAAGCCTATCTCAGATTAAAAAATGACAAACAATTTTTGAGCCGTTGTGGCGCAGGGGATCGAGAGCTCTCCTCACAACGGGGTGACACTGGTTCGATTCCAGCAATGGCTGGGATTCTAATTCCGCACCCGGCTCGTATTGAGCACAATGTTGACAAAAAATATCCTCAGAGGTAGACGGATCATGGGTTAGAGTCCCCTTGCCGTTAGGCTAACCGTGGGATGCTTTCGTAGTTTCTCTCTTCATGTAAGGCAAATGCGGGTTAGTTTCAGCAAAAAGTCCTCTGTGAAGGCAAATATCTCCTAAAGCTTGATCCAGGAGAATCCCTTATCTTCTGAATTGGGTTCAAAATTATAAGGCTACAGAGTTGAACATTAGTAGTCCGAAATAGCATTGTCTGTTCAACGACGATTGTAAAGTAAAAAAAAAAAATATTTTATCATTAATAATTACTACCTTAAGATAGTATAGAAAATTTTTTGCTTATACAATTCTATTTTTTTTAAAATATTATTTAAAAAAATAATAAAATGCAACAAATAATTATTAAAAATCATTTTGTATGTGGAATTCGAACTTAATAATTGTGGGTTATATAATAAAATAAAACTAATAACTTGAAAAAGTAAGTCTTTCTCAGATTTGTGAATATTTGAAGAAGAAAAAAAATTTCAAAAATATAGCTTGAAAAAGTAAGCCTTTCTCAGATTTAAAAAAATGTCAAACTATTTTTTACAACAAATTTTCTTTCTCAGACGGTTATTAAATCATAAGATGTCCTTGTGATTTCTCGAATCATTAATGTGATTTCTCCTTCATCGAGAGAGGGAGATAACATTTTTGTAAATCAGATGGATCTGAATTACTGAAACTAAATATTTATGCCAGGGAAGGATCTGTTATAAAAATCCAGTCACAAGTACTTTTGATAAGGTGCGTCTTATCGCGCAATAATATAATAATGATGAACATTGCTTATTTTATCCTTTTCAACTTAAATACTTATTACCGTAAATCAAGAGAATGTCGACTTTCATCTGCGAATATCAACAATCACATTGTCGCTTTGGTGAATGTCCGAAATATGTGTTGCATCCGATTTGATATTAACTTTTTCGTTGATATTATTATATTCATTCGATATTTTAATATCTGCTGAGGATAGATTAGGAAAAACATCAGTGTTCGGAGTACCGGTTAAATGCATACTGAGCAGTGTCATTTGGCCTTGAAAACATTGATGAAGGGCATACCGGGCAAATGTATACCGCACAGTGGTACTTAACTGGACCTAATAATATATTTCGCACATTTACTAAAGCGACTATGTGATTGTGTCAACATTTATTGGTGGAAATCAACAACCACCAATATCGGTCATTCCCATTAGGATGTTCACTAGAAATATACAAAGTATACTTCCAGTGTATATATATACTATATATAAAAAAAAGAGAGTGTCCTAAATAGCTTTTAAACTAATAATCGGATTTTCACAAAATTCAATTACCCCTTATTACAATTTTAAATAATCTTAAAACCATAGTTATATGATAAATAAATAGTGCAGACAATGCTTTAAGGTACATAAAAACGTACTTTTTCTGAATAAACGTACCCGATTTCAACGGAATCGAATTTTTGGCCATCGAAATCAAGGAAAAGGCAGCAATCTAAAAAATAGGGTAGCCATAGTTTCCTTAAGAGAGTGGTTTAAAATTAGAGCCTCCATAATTTTAATTTTTGAATATTTTGACATATCTCGATAATCCACAGATAATACACAAAAAATGATATTTAAAAGCTATTTACATATTTAATTTCAAAATAATTGGAAAAACAATTATAGTTTAAAGTAGAAACATTATCTTAATCAATATAAACTTAAAGGACAAAATCCTAAACTAAAAAAAAAGCCCGAGCAAAACTCTAAAAATCATTCGTTTTAATTTCCAAAAAACAAACTTTTAAAACTATATATATATTTTTTTTTGGGGGGGGGGGATTTTCACAAAAGTGCTGTTCGATCAATTTCTATCAATTTCGGACTTTTCAATTAAAATTATTCCCTTGAAAATAATATAAATAACTAAAATAATTATAAATAGCTATCATAAGTATAAATGATAATAAATAAATTATATTTAAAATGCATAAATATATAACAAAAATAAATAAATGATTTTAATGTTTTTTTTGTTTTTTGCATGGATTAATGTTTGAGTAAACGAGATTTATTATTGCCTGCAAAATAGATTTTGATTCGCCCAAATTGAGATAAGGCGAAATATGCAAAAATCAACAATGATAAGGAGTGCTATTTTAACTACAATATTTCTCCGATGTTTTTAAGGCTCAAAATCCGCTTCCTTTGGAAGCAAAAAAAGAAGGTCTATAATGTGAAATTACGTTTAGCGTCTTATTTAGTGAATACGGCTGAACCATTTAATGTAATTTTATTTTGAAACAGACGTTGAACAGCCGACCCAATTTTTTGTTTACGATTACTAACGTTCACCTCCGCAGCCTTGTAATTTTGAACCCAATTCAGAAAACTAGGGAACTCCTGTATCAAGTATTATGAGAAGTTTGCCTTCGTGGAGGACTTTTTAATGGAACTAACCTGCATTTGCGTTACATGGTAGGGAAAACCACGAAAACATCCCACGGTTACTTTGACGGCAAGGGGATTTTAACCCATGATCCGTCTACCACTGAGGATGATTCACGTTGGCATTGTGGTCGGTGCAAGTTAGATGCGGAATTCGCATCGAGCAGGCATCGCTGGGATTCGAACCTGGTTCACCTCACTGGAGGGCGAAAGTTCTTTCCCCTGAGCCACCATAAATGCTCCCAAAAATAATCTGTAGATTGACACTAACTCTTAATTTTATTTGAGAAATTCTAAAAATCGTGAAAGTGAAAGACGCGATAAAATCTCCTCTTTTATCGAAAGAGGAGATGAACGTTTGATTAAAGGGTAACGCAAGTATAAGAAACGAGGAAACGCGTGCGTGAATAGCTTTTTTTTAAAAACGATCGGATTTTCATATTTTAAAATGTAATCCTAATAATACCAATTTTAAAAAATGTTAGTTAAATGGTGCTTTAATACAATTAATTACATATTAAGGTACAATATTAAGGTTGGTTGGAATGCTTTCCATAACAGTGCTACAGAAATGATTGTTAAATAAGGATGGACAGAAGATGGCTTTTTTTGCATTCGATAAAAAGCAAAAAAAAAAAAAAAAAAAAAAAAAAAAAAAAAAAAAAAAAAAAAAAAAAAAAAAAAAAAAANTATTGAACAATATTAGGGTTGGTTGGAATGCTTTCCATAACAGTGCTACAGAAGTGATTGTTAAATAAGGATGGGCAGAAGCTGGCTTTTTTTTTGCATTCGATAAAAAGCAACAAAAAAAAGAAGAAAAAAAGAAGAAAAAAAAGAAATTAGTCTCAAATAACACTGAAATTTTGGTCAAAAATTGGATTTGTAATGTTGCATGAATGTCTATTATGTTACATGAAGTTATTTCGGAGATATATAGTTTAAAAAACAAAAATTTATAAAATGAAAATTTCAAAAATTTATTAGTTAATTATATTTTAAATTTACTTGCGTTCTTTTAAACACAACACTTTTTGAAAAGCATGGTTTTTGATATCTTGATTTCTTAATGAGATCTTGATTTGATATCTTGATTTCTTCCCGAGTGCGATCATACTAATATCGAGTAATACCAATAGTTTCTTTCAAAAAGCTCAGAATTTAGAGGAAAAAAATTTGAATTTTTTTTAAAATTTTATTTCTGAATTTGAAACATAAATCTTTATTAATTCATAAAGGATGCTAATTTATTTATAATTGATATCAATTGGGCAAGCATTTTCATCTTTTCTGCACAATTATACAAAATCTGGACATTTCAATACATCAGCTTATTATTGGAAAGCTTGTTTCTAAACATTAAAAAAAAACATTTTCTACTTACTTTTGTGCCACCCATTTTCAACAATTATTCATTAATTTTTATTTTTTAAAATTTAGACATAACCACAACTGGCTACACTGCCCGAATCCTGTAATCTGTGTTTAATGTTAGCGGCATAAAATCCTTTCACGTGATCTGAACTAAAAATTGTGACGTTTGACTCCTATCCCCCCTCCCACTTTCGTGACGAAAACGGTTATTTAACCAATAGAGAGAGGGCAATACCTCGTTATCGCCTATGGAGCTTTCTTGAAGATTTATATGACTATTTTTAAGAAGTTTTTCATGGCATTCCAACTTTTCAGCACCTTTTCGTTTAGTGAACGCAATAGAGATTAAAAGAGTGTGACGATTGGAGATAGATGCGATTTTTTTTCTTCTTCTCTGTATTATTACTTTTATAGATAACTGTAAACGAAATTTTTAACTCTGAACTTAAAAATGATTTTACTCAATTCATGTTTCTCATTTTTCATAGACTCCTATGCTGCAGAAACATTGATTGAAATCTGTTGTAACAAAACTTCATCTATAAACATACATTGAATTTTCTAAATTTATATTTGTGCAAATTTTAAATACATTGAATTGGATATGTTGAATACATTGATTTGAAATCTTGAAATTCGAAATTCCATCGATGAACTTGAAATGACTCACTTGACATTAATGTATTTTTTTAATCACTTCTAATTTGCCTTCAATATGCAGTTAAGATTGAAATCTGATGTGTCAAAACTCCATCGATAAACTTAAAAATAAGTTTATGTATCCATTAATAAACTTAAAAATACGTCTATTACATATGCTCCGCTACATATATTATACGGCATAGAGCTGAAATCTGATGTCACGAGACTTCATCCATAAATGTGATTTACAGTGCGCAAAAAAAGGACGACCCTGAATAATTTTTGATTTTATGATCTACTTTATAGCTCACAATCCCATTTTGCAGCAGTGGATTGAAATTAGATATCATATAACTTTATCTATGAACTTGAAATGCACACTCTTGACAGTGGTGTTTTTTTTCACGCCCTCTTAATATGCATACATCATGCAGCATAAAACAGAAATCAGATATCACAAACTTCATCTATGCACTTCAAATTCATTTACTCACTTCATATTTATGTATTGCTCTACACACACACCCTGATGTGTGTGTGTAGAGCATTACATAAATCTGCAAACGTAAATGCTGCTTCAAACAGAAAACTGATATCACAAAACTCAAATTATAAACTTAAAATGCATCTGCACTCTTTGCATCTGTGGTTTTTCCCCCTCACAATCTTTATGTTGCATAGACATTGCAGCATCGAATTGAAATTAGATATCACATCGATGAGCTTGAAATAGCATTTACAGTGAGTAAATGCTATTTCAAGTGCAAATATACATTCATGCATATTTCTTTTGGACTCCTAATCTGCATACTTTGTGCAGAATGAAACTGAAATCGGATGTCATGTAACTTCATTTATTAAGTTTAAAGTGCATTTACTTAATGTATTATATTTGCGTATTTTTAATCTAAACCTGTGTCCAATATAGTTTGCAATATAAGATTAAAATTTTATATCATCAAGCTCAGTCAAGAAATGTATTTATTTATATAATACATGATACTTTTATATATTTGCTTTGCATACCCTTAAGCAAAAATTGAGGAATTTTTGAGGTATAAATGAGGTATTTTTCAAAGGTATAAATGAGATTCCTTTTTAAAAACGTCGTTAGGTAGAAAAGGGTGCAAATGAGTACCTCAAATGTACCTTAAGTATACCTACAGAGGTATATATGTATCAATCTGAGGTGTTTCATCCTACATTTGCAGAGAGGCAGATATTTACTACTCTAAGATGTTTCGTTTTCAACCTAAGTTGTTACTTGTCAACCTGAAGTATATTTTTTTACACCTGTGGAAGTATTTATTCAACAACCAAAAGTGTTTCATTTAACACTTCAGATTATTCTGGATCTACCTCAAGTGTATTTTTTGACAGTTGTAAAGGTAATTTTCACTAAAGTGAGGTGTTTTATGCTCTACCTCAGGTTATTATATTTCAACCTCAAGTATATGTTTTTATGCTTGTAGAGGTATTTTTATCAATTTAAGGTGCATCATTTTACACATCAAGTTATTACAGATTAACCTGAAGTGTATTTTTCGACAGCTGAACAGACTATTTTTGATGAACGTGAGGTGTTCCATGTTCTACTTAAGATTATTTTTCATCCTCAAGTGTGGATTTATATAGTTGTTGAGGTATTTATTTATCTACTTAAGGTGTGTTATTTTTCACTTCCGTTTATTATAAATCAACATCAAGCGCATTTTAGACACTTGCAAAGATTATTTTTTATTAACACGCGGTGTTCCATATTCTACCACTTAGATTAATATTTCGTAATCTCAAGTATACATTTTTGTATTTTTAGAGGAATTAATTTATCAAACAAAGAAGCGACATTTTGCATTTCAGGCTTTTATAGTTCATCCTAAAGATGTTTTTTTAACACTTACGAAGGTAATAATTCACAAACATAAGGAGTTACACGACCTACATAGTTTATTACTCTTTAACCTCACTATTATTTATATTACATAAAGAATAGTATATCTTTACATTTTTTTCATTAGTAGAGATTTTCCTTTATCAACCTGGAAGTTATTATTATTACACGCTCGGCAGTAATTGCTTCTTTTGCTAAGCTATAAAAAAAGTTTCAAATACATAATTCTTCTGTAATTTTAATAGATTTAATTAAATTATCTTGAAATGACACTGTTTAACATGAAATGATCCGAATTGACACAGTTTAAAAAAAAAATTGTTGTTGAGGGAACTCACATTTTTATAAGGTGCTTGAATTTTCAAAGCTGTAAAAAGAACTGCAAATTTATATAACTAGTCAGCTGACATTCAAAATAATTTTATTTAAAACTGAAATTTCCTTTTTTTTTTTACAAACCATCAAAATTATTTCAAATATTGATTCTGTCTCTCTGTTGACAGTCGGAAGTATCGAAACCTAAAAACAACGAAATATGAATTAGTAAAAAAGTCATATTTACAATAATATCGGCAAGTTTTAAAATGTTAGAATCAAATGATCTTCTACAGAATTGATTAAACAAAATAAATTGTTTTTTTGCATGATTTAAATTAATTGGAAGAAACTAATTTTCTTTCTCAGATAAATGGCATGCCACTTCTGTCTCTTCTATTCCATCCTCGTAGCTAAAAGAGTTTAAAAGTGTGACAGGTACCACCACAAAATAAAATACATTGAAGAAAGCACTAGCATTAAAAACCTTAACAGAAATTCAAATATATAATTCCAATCTTATTAGGAAATTTTAACACGTTTTATTTTTCCATGATTGAACCTTTTTTTTCTCATAATGGCACTTACAAGTTTGATAATTAGATTTTTTTCTTTTTTCTTAAAAATCTTTACATAAACTCATTAAAACTAATAGATTTTAAATCAATTTTTGACTTTGATTCTGAAAAGGACTTTTATTGTCAATCGCATCAGAGTTTCACAAAAATAGTTACTTTAATATTTTAATCAATCTAATCAAGAATCAACAATCGTTTAATAACATAAAATTTGAATGAACAATTTGAAGTGAATTTAAGTTAGGTACCATTTTTTATACCCAATAGAATAAAACTAGCCGCAAGCTAATAGGAGCATTTGTTTCAAAGTTGTGAGCAATTTTATGAGAAGAAAATGTCTAAGAGAGAACGATTTGAAATAATGCTTTTAAAATAGATTGAATAAAATATTTCCTAAGTGACTTATACCGAGCATAATAAAACTAATTGTTAGTTGCTACAATCGTTTGTACAAATATAAAAACATATCCCATAGGATGAAATTCAAAAATTGCATATAGCTTTCATACAATAAGTGCTTTTATTTACAATTGAATTTATCCGATTCAGCATTAATATTACATAAGAAACCATACTGACTTACGTCTAAAAAAATTTAAGATTTCCGAAACTCGTTAATTTTTGAAGTAGTAACTGCATAAAAATGCTCATAACCTTGAACCAAATTGTCATATAAACTTGAAATCGGGTTTTATTTCATTCTGCTTAATATTCTAATCAGTAATAACAATTTGCCTAGTAAATAATTAACATGGGTAAATTGCAAAAAAAAAATTAACATGAAGTGAAAAATAACAGTTCTGTGATCAAACATAAAAAGTGAGCTAGTACAGTTATTAGTTTTAAATTATCAATGCCATGCAAACTATTGTTATCAACAATCACATAAATTTAGTAGTTTATTTTGTGAGCTTCCTTTTTCTTTTTGGTATAAATTCCGAACTATTTCCCTGGGCAAGGTTGAGCAGTAGCTTGCTGGCCACTTCTTCTTCGCTGTTGCATGTGTGCTATATACAGACTAGGTCATCTTAGCAATATCAGGGTACTACTTGTGGATAAGCTCTGTAAATATATATATAGATATATATAACACTTTAATCCCGTTGAAATATCGAAAAATAAATTTTAAAAAATAAAACGAAGTAAATAGAAAAAAAAATTAAAAAATACTCCGTGACCAGGACCGAACCCCTGACCAC